TTAAGATTCATGCACGGGGCTCATATTTTATTTCCTCTTTGTTGACAGACGTCCCCCAAAGATGAACCAAAGGCTCCAGGTAACATGTTTATTAATGATTAGGCAGATTTTAAAGCTGTTAAAATCTGATGAAATTAAACTGAAATGTCTCCAAGAAAGCAACAAATTAATGTCAACGAAGAGCAGCTTAGAGAAAGATGAAAGACGGCAGTTAGATTTTCCTGGCAGGGTTGAGGTTTTTATGATTATCCAGGAGCACAGAAGCATTTGCTTACGCAGTTACAGTTTTGTTTTAAAAAAGCTTCTATTTAATTCACAGAACAAGTTGGATCAAAGATTCCTCGACTGGAGAGCCCCATGCCTCCACTACCCACGACGCAGCCTCCCCCAGGTAAGCGTGACTCTGTAGCTTACGTCATCTGCATTCTTTACACTGTCCAAGAAGTTCAAATGATTTAGAGCTGGATCAAAATACCGTTACGTGCCGGCGTCCTCTTAATGCTCTGTTTGCGTGCGCCACCACAGCAACCAATAATGAGCAGCCAGGACCCCCCGCCTGCAGCTCGAGCTTAGAAGCAGCCCGCAGTCGTTAGTCCTTTCAGTCTGCTTACATAACCACATCTCGTCTGGACATTATTTCCCAAGACACGCATACCCCTAACCTATCCCAGACCAATCTGATTAGTGCTTGAGCCTCATAATGAGACCTCCTATGTGGCTAAGCCCGGTAGTTTTGGTCTGGCCGTGCGCTCACTGTCTGAGAATGGCGAGCTTCATTTTAGATCTTTGCAGTAGGGAAGCTGATTTTTATTAACAAGTCGTTTCTCTTTACTTTGTCCTTTCACTCCAGCTCCTCCCGCAGAAGCAGAGCCAGGAAATGAAACAGCTCCTCCTCCCCCACAGGCTCCACCTCCACACCAGCCTCCTCCGCTGCCCCACCGCCCTCCTCCTCCACCGCCTTCCAACTACTTGATGTCTACAACGAGCTCTTATATGTCTGGCGAAGGCTACCAGAGCCTACAGTCCATGATGAAGACTGAGGGTCCCTCCTACTCCATGCCGCCCAGCTACGCACCCCCAATGTATCACGTCTATCCACCACCTTCAGCACCTCCTCCTGGGCCACCGCCTCCTCCCTCCACATACCCACCACCCAGCTTGCCACCATCCTATCCACCACCGGTCTACAACAACTACCCCCCGCCACCGCCTCCACGCATGCCACCAGGCCACGTGCCTCCACCAGTGATGGCCCTTCCACCCACTGGGTACCCTCCTCCACCTCCAGTGCCTCCAGGACAGTCACAGGTGCCCTTGCCCCCTCCGCCTGGTATGCCTATGAACCGTGGCGCATGGATGAGATGAGAATGTGATAAGTCTGAACTGAGGTTGTGCAGAGCCACAACTGGGGCGAATAAAAACAACCAGGGTCTTGTTATCTTGGAGCAAAACACGAAAAGCGGAGCTGCTTCATGACTTAGAGCTTCTGATAGAGGTGCAGGGTTGTGAAAGAAAGCGTGTAGGTAAATGGACTTTAAAGATAACGTGAGGTCTGGACAGTATTGTTTTTGGAGGTGATAGGAAGGTTAACGAATTAGCAAATATGTACAGGATAGGTACTCACAGTGCCCAGTTCCAGGAGCTTATAAGAAACACTGTCCAGTCGTTGTTTTTATTCGTTTTTTCTGGAAATTTATCAGGAAATAAGATTTTTTCTGTTGTCATACATGCACTCTCACTAATTGTGGGTGGTGAAATGTTCCAGTTTCATTCAGCCTTCGAGTGGATCTAAGGTTGGGTCTTGTGTTCCTTCCTTTAGTCTATCACCTTTATTGGTTTTCCTGAATACACCTCCCTTCACTTTGTTCTCTTCTCCACATTCCCGTTGTTCTGCTGAGAGCAGTGTAATAAAATCTTAAGGTGGTTGAATATGCTGTGGGACTGTCGTATTGAAAGACTTGAACAGACACATGCTGTATATTTTTTGTGGTTTAAACAGCGTTTTTTTGTTTGTTTTTTACATTTTACTCTGATAATGCTGAGGTCGTGTTGCAAGACATTTCTGCTGCTTTTCCCCCCTCATGTCACCACCCATCGTCTCATCGCTTCTGCACCCAGAGCAGTAAACATTAAAACAATTTAAAAAAACTAAAAGGGTTTAATTTCCTCATTCACTGTCACTGGTCTAAGAAGCCCAATAAAGAAGAAAAACTGACTTCAGCTGTTCTTTATCTGGGTTTTGCTTTGTTTCTATTTTTTTTTTTAATGGTACTTTTTATGGCCGTAAGTTAAAAAGAGTCAAAAGTTCACCGAAGAAGGCAGAGCGAAGTACTTCGTCTGGGTTAGGTACCTCTGAGTGTCTGTTCCTGCAGTGGGAACACACACATGCAGACCACTAATAGTTAAAACGATGAAAAGCTGCTTTTTGTAAGAGAGGAAGGTTACAGCCTGGGCAGGCTGGGCAAGCGAATCTAAGTACTAAGTACTCTGAGAAAAGAGACACAGGAAGAACAAGCAAAACCTGGGTGTGAGGCCACAGTGCTAACCGCTGCACCACCAGCTTACTTTTAAGCACCTTTTATTTCCTTGCACTGCAGGAAACACACACAGATCAACCACAACTAACACTGGACAGTTTGCAAGTGTAGAGTTCAGTTTTTTTGAGCACTTCTGTATAAAACTGCCTTAGACTACTCTGTGCTTTGGTTTAGGTGTAAGAAAAGTTCTCGTCACCTGCTCTTCATAGCTGAAAATGGGGTCTGTGTGAAGAGAGGTGTTGCTTCTTAGATTTCTTCCACCCTTTACACACCAGCTCATGTTCCTCCTTATCTCCTCCAGTCAAATGTTTATGAACAGAGGCCAGGATACAGACAGATGAGCAGATACCTTTTCCACTAATCGGTTTTAGCAGTGAAAATGATACTCCCCCACTTCTTCAGTCCACCGATTCAACTGCTTGTTGACGCAAATATCTAATCAATCGCATAGCAGCAACCCAGCGCATCTAGGCAGATAGACGTAGTCATGATGACCTGGTGACGTTAAATGGGAAAGAAAGTGAGCAGCAGATCTCTTGGCAAAAATACGTAGTTGATGCCAGAGGTCAGAGGAGAATGTTTTGAGATGATAGGAAGACTACACTGACTCAAATAACCAGTCATTGCAACCAAGGTATGCAGAAGAGCATCTCTGAACATACAATTACCGTATTTCCCGGACTACAAAGCGCACCCGAATATTAGCCGCACAAGCTAAAATCAGGGGGAAATCCTGTTTTGTACATACATTAGCCGCACCTGACTAAAAGCCGCATATGTAAGAGAATATGCACAAAGCAAATTGTCAGGAAAGAGATGGCTGTTTGGAGACACATCACTTTTATTAATATTTTGAAAAACAAGTTATGGGTACATATTTGCATAACTTTTTAGGTATATGTACAAGTAG